ATTTTAAACTCTGGGGACTTTCCTTTTCTGCCTCTGCTGCTTCTCCTGCATTCCCTTGCTCTGCCAGCACAGTGGGAAGGAGAGAAGCATCCTGGCCTGGCTTCCTTTCAAGGATAACCACGTATCCTCCCTACGTCCCTCCTCCTGAGAAGTGCAAGGGGGGAAGAGGGGAGAGCTTGAATTTCTGGGAGCATAAATCCCCCGACCCGTGAGCTGCCTGAGGTGGGGCGGTCCAGGCTCGTATTAGGGGGCTGCTGAGCGCTGTGCTTTGAGGGCTCGCCCTGTTTTCCTTCATGCACAGGCAGACTTTGCCCACAAGCAGGTGGCATCAGCCTGCAAGGGAGGGAGGTGCCCGTAAGTGCCGCGCCCAGAGTGATCTTGTCCCTTCTCGCCTCTAGTTTCCAGGCACGGATCGACGATTGCGTCAAGCAGATGTCGGATATCCTCTGCCAGGTGAAAGGGCCAGGGAACGCCCCTCCGAATGTGGTGGCCCAAGACGCAGACAACGTCCTCAGGCCCTTGATGGACTTCCTGGATGGAAAGTAAGGGCACCAGGCGGATCCGCACCAGATTTAGAGGGTTTGCGCAGGCCTCTTGGCATCCTCAGCTTGAGCCCAGGGCTGGGAAATGGAGGGGGCTGCTTCTGCGGAAGAATCCCCCACCCTTTCTTGGTTTCTCTGCCAGTCCCAGCTGAGGCAGAAGGACTTTTAAAGCAGCCCAGAGTGAATTACAAAAGCTCCCCTAAGAGCTGGAAGCAGCAGTAGCAGTTGGCCTGGCCAGACCTCAAGGCATGGCCACAGCTGCTGGTCGCGTCCAGCCAAGGGAGCCGGCTGTAGAAGACCAAACACAGGCTGGATAGACCTTTGGTTCTGGCCAGGCACTTGTGGCCACCTGGACAAAGCCAGGGAAAAGTCAGGGATCCCTTTGTCCTGCTGAGGTCCTCTTGCTTGAGTCTAACCCTCTGCTCTCCCCCTGCAGCCTGACACTCTTTGCGGACGTCTGTGAGAAGACGGTGCTGAAGCGGGTGCTGAAGGATCTCTGGCGGGTGGTCATGAACACCCTGGAGAAGATCATTGTGCTGCCTCCCCTCTCGGACAACACGGTAATGCTCTTCCCCCGCTCCTTTTGCCCCAAGGAGGTCAAGCGAAGAGGCAGCAACTGCCCAAGTCACAGCTCACAGAGCCTCCTGGCCAAGTGGGGGATTGAGCCCTGATCTCTCCCAGGTCCTGGGATGCCACTCTAACCACTAGGTCACACTGCCTCTCTTGCCTTTTGCCAATCTTGGCTGCTCTCATTGCTCTTTGCAGTTGTCCCCTTCTTTCACCCCCCCAACAGCCCCCAGGTGAACAGAGAACAGAGGTGGCACATTTTAAAGTGTAAGCAAAGAGCTGGATGGCTGGGGGGGGGGGAGAAGGAGGGGGTCTGAACCAGCCCAGGGGCATTTGGACCAGATGGGAAAGAAGGAACAGGTCTGAGCGTGAGGAGAGGGGGCTCCAGAAGGAGCCGCGTTCAAGCACAGCCAGGGAGGTGGGACCTTCCTCCCCCCGGATGCTTCCTCCTCCAGCCTGTTCCCACCTGGGCTACCCTGGGTCTGCTTCTGCCCATGCAGAGGGGCAGCAGAAGAACCAGTGAGCCAGCTTGGAGGCTGGGCTTCCTTTAAGGCTGCGAGCGATCAGCGCTCCTGCTGCTGCGTGGGCTTGTGTGGGTTGCCGAAACAGGAGAAGCCCTGTCCGCCTTTGTACGTTTATCGCATGCCCCGCCGCGAAGAGGTTTAAGCGGAGCTGTGAAAATGGCTGGGTCAGGCTGTCTGCGGGGCAGGCTCAGCGACAGGCAGCAACCAGCCTTTTCAGAAAGAAAGAAGGAAGCGAGACAAGCGGGAGGGGAGGCGGGTCAAGCGGGGGGGGGGGCCTGGCTGCAGAAACCCTTTGAAGCTCCCAGGAGGGGAAGGGAAGTGGCCCACCAGCCTCTTCTCTGCACAAAGCCCCCCCCCCACTCCGCGGAACAGAACGGACCCAGAGAGAAACGGGTCCCAATTGCCGTGGCAGCAACGCCACATTGTGTTCCTCCAAGGAGCCACCCGTTGCCTTCTTGAGTGCAGTGCCAAGGAAAGCCCCCACCCACTGGTGCAGGGGCTGGAGAGTTGCATGGGGCAGCCAAGAGACCTTTCTTTGTGCCCCATCCTTTGAAATCTTTCCTCTCTCTTGCCTGCCGTGGGGAGGGCGATTTTCGCCCAGCCTTGTAGCAGCCATTAACAGGAACAAACAGGAACATTTTGCAAAGCCCGTTTTCAGCAGCCCTGTGTCCACGCTGTGCCTGCAGGGAAAGCTTTAAGGATTATAAGGGAAAGATGCTGCAGCCTGGCCAGAGACCTGTTCCCTGGCTTGGGAGGGCCTGGTGCTTCTTGGCACAGTCCCAGGAGCAGCCAGGAGCCCCGAGGCAGAAGAGGGAGCGCCAGGCAGCTGCAGTCGTCAGGAGAAGGCTCAGACAATCGACTCTGGTGCTGTGGAAACGGAGGGATGTCTCCATGCCTGGAGGCCAGAAGCCCATCAGACTCTGGGTCAGGGGCTGTGGCTGCCAGCTGGCTGCTGGCTCCCTAGAGCCTGGTGCAATCTTGTGCCCTGCGAAGCCCAACTGGCCTGTGGGTGGATGGAAGGCACACAGGTCTTTCTGTGATGTGTTTGCCATGGCGGGAAGAAAAGCTGAGCCGTCCCTCAAGGTCTGCAGTCAGCGATGGTGGCCAAGGGTGGAGGTGGTTGCCCTGATCCGCAGGCCCAAAGGAGGAGGCCCTGCACAAGTGGTTTGGTGCAGGGATACCAGAGGAGGTCAAAAACGCCAGAGGGATCTGTTCTAGCTCTTTATTAGAAGAACAGGCCAATGTACAACACCGACTGCAGAGCCAGACTCGGCACGGACCCTGAAGAGGCAAGCGGTTGCCACGACTTGTCGGCACCCGGGAAAGCATCTAGGCATCACATCTTATACAAAAACTAACTATGTAATCTGGCCCCAGGAGCCCAGTTAACTTGCCTCCGGCTTGGAGGCCCCTTCTCAGCTCTCCTCCATCTCTAAGGCCATCTCTAAGAAGCCTCGTTTCTCCCCACCAGCAGAACCAAAACTCAGGCTTCCAAACTTTGAAGCAGCTGAACATAAGTGAGCTCTTTCTGGCAGCAAATGACAATCAGCCCCAGGGTTATCCTGACTACCAAGGTGGTGTTTGCAGGCCTTCCGGAACATGGTCACCAGTTTGGTTCCACACAGGGTTCCCTCGTGCCTCTGCCAGGCGAGAGATTTCTGCTTCTGCAAGAGCTTGCTGTTCCCAGCTGGCTCTTTGCTATTCCCAGTTTGATTCTAGGCTGAGGCTGGAGGGTGCATGTTCCCTCATATGCGCCTGGCCACAGGGTGCGGGGAGTGAGGGAGGGGTTCATGGTGCAAAGGGGCCTGGAAACGCTAAAGCAGAATGCTGTCGACTGGCCCTTTCTCCATGAGCGCAGCAGACGGGTGTGGAAAGGAGGGTTCTTTGCTTGGGTCTCCTCTTGGCGCTGGAGGAAGAGCCTTGCTTCCCCCTCAAGGGGCCACCATGACCAAGCCAGCACAACGCCCCCAAGGCTGGCTAGTGGCAAGGGCTTCAGAACTGAGGGGTGATGGTGAGCAGATCAGGGCAGCTTCTACTGGCTTGGAACTGAAGTTTTCCTCTCTCTTTTGTTTTCTTCTGGAACCTTTGTGCAGAAAATACCCCCGAAGTCTGACCATACCAGCCTTGTATCCCATGCTTCCAGCTGAGCCCTGGGACTTCCTTAGGAGTGAGGGGCTTTAGTGGAAGGAAGAGTAGGCAGATAGCCTCTCAGCCAGGGGTGAGGACCCTCTAGCAGGGATGTCCAAACTTTTTAAAAGAGGGCCAGATTTGAGGAAGTGAACATGCCCACCAAGGTAAAATAAACTGAATTAGGCCCCTGAAACAGACTTTGGACTCTCTGCCTTCTTCCTGGACTCTTACCAGCACTTCTTCAGACCCGCCTTGGACGTTTCTGCCTGTCTTTGAACCCTGATGATGCCTCTGGTTGCCCAGATGGAGGGCAGAGAAGGTTGTGTGTGTAGAACTGCCCTTCAGTACAACGATAATATTTGCACTCGTTGACCTGCCCACGTTGACCTCTGGCCCAGCCCACTCCTGGGAGGTTACCTAGGTGGGAAAGTGGCCCTGTCTCTAAGCTGGCTGCATCCACTCGTGCGTATCTTGGAGATTGCCAAGATGGCCGTTTGACGGCTAAGCCGAGATAAGTGGGGCTTCCCCCCACAAGCGCCTCTCCTTCCGTTGACAAGCCAGCATGTTCCGCTTGACGCAAAGCCTTTGAGGCCTCCCGATCCCTCTTCCCTACTGTACTGGTGTGACCCACGAAGGCTGCTCACCTTGTTTTCCCCCTGAAGCAGCCCTAGTGGGCACCAAAGCAGGTGCTTGCAAGAGGGTCTCCTGCCTGGGCCAGGGTCCCGCTGGCTGCCTCTACCTGCTCAGAATCTGGGGTGTAACCTTCTGCTCCTCCTGTCTTGTCTTTCCTCTCTTGCTCGTCACGCCCGCAGGGGACCCCGCTGATTTTCAGCGCCGCTAAAGAACTGGGACACTTGTCGAAGCTGAAGGTATGGGGGGGGTGTAACCGCTAGCGCATGGCCCTCCGCCCCCCGCCTGCCCTGCCTGTGACTGTGGCTGTCTTGCTTGTGCGTCCCGCAGAATGCCCTTGTGTCCCCTTGTGCGTCTTGTCACCGTTGTCGTAACCGTGGCCAGTGCCTGAGTTCCTGCCCAGGCGCAAGCTGGGTTTTGCCTTGGCTCTCAGCGCATGAAGCTTGACCGCAGGCCGTTACATCGTCTGTCCACCCACCATCCCTGGAAGAATGAAGCCCTCATGCCACAATGGGGGGCCCTTCCCAACGGCCGGATGAGAGAGAGGGGCTCTGAATGGGCAAGGGCTGCGGGGCTGGGCAGGGGAAGGGGGTGGGCTGGGACTCTCGGCTGGGATAGCTCAGTTGGCCAAGCATGAGACTCTCAATCTCAGGGCTGTGGGTTCGAACCCCACCTTGGGCAAAAGATTCCTGTGTTGCAGGGGGTTGGACTGGATGGCCTCGGGGTCCCTTGCAGGAGACCTTTGTGCTGTGCTTCCTTTCTTGCAGCTGGTGTGTGTGTTGTCCCTCCATCTTCTCTCCCATGTGAGCTTGCATAGATCTCCAGAGACAGGCCTGTGGCCGCATTCCCACTCCCTCTGCTCAGCTCGGCTCGTCTTCCTGCCGCGTGTCTCTTCATAGGCTTCTCACAGCAAAGGTCCCCTGCCGCTGGATCCCTGACCCACCCCTACGCGTGCCTTTCCTCTTGGCTCCTTACCATTTAAGGACTCCCCACCCCCCGAAACAGCCCTAATCTTGCCATCTGCTGTTTCAGGATCACATGGTCAGGGAGGAAACGCGGAGTCTCACCCCAAAGCAGTGTGCGGTGCTGGAACTGGCTCTAGACACCATTAAGGTTAGTGACAAACCCCCCCCCCCCCGCCTTGGTTCCTCAAACACAAACAATGGTGATTCCTGCATTGCAGGGGGTTGGGCTAGATGACCCCTGGGACCCTCCCAGCTCTGCAGTTCTGTGATTCTGTGAATTCCAGGGAGAGCAGGAAGCACAGCAGTTGTTGCTCACCCACCCAGGGGGTGGGGATGTTGGCCAGCGCCAGACTCTCAGGGGCAGAGGGTGGGTCTAAATCAGGTTCCCGGGTAAGACATTTTACCTATTAAAAAGGGCAGCGGCAGAACATATAAAGTTCAGTGAGTTCAGATGTGTCCCAAAACAGCCTGAGACTAGGTTCGGTAAGTAAATTCTGTGTCCAAGGCAGCTGTCTCCCAGCTCCATCTGGTACACAGGCTGAGACCCTCCCATGGACTGTCTGGCCTGAGTGGTGCATGCTCTGGTTATCTCCCACTTGGACTACTGCAATGCGCTCCACGTGGGGCTACCTTTGAAGGTGACCCGGAAACTGCAATTAATCCAGAATGCGGCAGCTAGACTGGGGACTGGGAGTGGCCGCCGGGACCACATAACACCGGTTCTGAGAGATCTGCATTGGCTCCCAGTACGTTTCCAAGCACAATTCAAAGTGTTGGTGCTGATCTTTAAAGCCCTAAACAGCCTTGGCCCAGTATACCTGAAGAAGCATCTCCACCCCCATCGTTCAGCCCAGACACTGAGGTCCAGTGCCGAGGGCCTTCTGGCGGTTCCCTCACTGCGAGAAACGAGGTTACAGGGAACCAGGCAGAGGGCCTTCTCGGTGGTGGCACCCGCTCTGTGGAACGCCCTCCCATCAGATATCAAGGAAATAAATAACTATCTGAGTTTTAAAAGACATCTGAAGGCAGCCCTATTTAGGGAAGTTTTAAATGTCTGATTCTATTTTTAATATTCCGTTGGGAGCCACCCAGGGTGGCTGGGGAAACCCAGCCGGATGGGCAGGGTGTAAATTATTATTATTATTATTATTATTATTATTATTGATTGCAGGCCAATTTAATTTAGCTGCTTTCTCAGTCCACAAGGGAGATGGCTGTAAGACAGAGACTGCGCTAGGCTTTCTTCTAGCCGAGACAGAAGCCCTTCCTCCTTCCATCTTCTGGACCACTCAGTTCCAGAGTCCCCTTGGTGGGCTTGGGGGAGAGCCAGTTGGGGGTCCCCACCCCCTGTGGCCCAAGGAGCAGGGCAGGTGGGTCTCTGGGTGGGTCCCTGGGTGCTTCCTCCTTCTGCCTCTGACATGTATGGGCCAAAAGGGGAGGAAGGAGTCTAGTTTTTGGTGAGAAGGGCCTCGTCCAGAGGCAGAGAGAAGAGGCAGTGAGGCCTCCTTCCTTGTAAATCCCACAAGGACTGCAGGAGAAAATGTCTGTAGCGTTGAAGGGCTTGGAAGGGCCTGTTTAATTCAGGCAGCTTCCCCGTCAGGAAAGGGGAAAACTGGGATTCCAGCCTCCAGTTGCGTGTTTGTTTTTTAGTATTTTTTTATTAGAATTTGGGAAATATTTTTATTTATTTATTTATACATACCCCACCCATCTTGCTGGGCTTCCCCAGCCACTCTGGGCAGCTCCCAAGGGATACGAAGATTATTATCCAATTTCTTTCTTTTTTATCAAAACCAAAATGTTAATCTAAGTAAAGACTCAAACCCTAAAGAGAAGAAAGACAAGAACAAATAGAGAGAGAGAGCTCAAGAGAAGGGAGAAGGGAAGAGAGAGAGGAAATAATGAAAGAGAGACAAAGGGAGGAGAAAAGAGGGGGGAGTTAAAGTTAAGAGAACAAGGAACAGCTATATATAAATGTTATTCAACTCATCCCCTCTGATGTAACACCCAACAAAACTACTTTCTGTACACCAAAGATGTCGTTAAGTCATGCTCCTAAATTCATGTTGTGAGCTGCTTGTGATGATGCCTCGTGGGTCCCTTAGAGTGTTCTGGGACTACAGGGGACCCCCCCCCCCGAGCCCCCAGCCATCACTACCCCCCACAACTGCCTCTTTCCCACAGCAATATTTCCACGCTGGGGGAAGCGGCCTGAAGAAGACCTTTCTGGAGAAGAGCTCAGACCTGCAGTCTCTGCGCTATGCGCTGTCCCTCTACACGCAAACCACTGACACTCTCATCAAGACCTTCGTGCAGACGCAGACGGCACAAGGTGAGGATGCTGCGTGAGTGCAAGACTCATTCAGGCGGGGGGAGAGGCAGCGGAGGCACCATGGGGCAGGGCTGGGGGGCCCTCCGTGAGTTGCCTCTTTGCGCCCTTCCTCAAAAGGGCATGTGCTCACCAGAGCAGGTCGTGCGCAGCCATGTTCTGGGGACAGTCCAGGGAGTGAGCTCAGCTGAACCCTGGAAAAGCAGAGAGAACGCATGCCCACGTTGTCTTCCCTGTTGATGCCCTAGGGGGGTAGTTTTGGGTGGTCCCTGCCTGCTGCTCCGTCCCGGCAGAGCCAGCCGTGTGGCCCCTGGAGCTGATTCCCAGGCCCTTGCGCGCTTCTTGTCTGGGGTCAGCCCGAGTGCACAAGCAACCCAAGAGACCTTCCTGGAAACGCCAAAGAAGCAGCAAACTGTCCAAGAGGGGCCCCTCAATCCAAAGTGTGAGGGAGAGATGGACCCCCTTTGGAGCATGTGGTGCCTCTGCTGGGGGTAAGAAAGGGGCCACTCCTGCACCAGGGGTCCTTTGATGCTCCCCAGTCTCCTAACAGCGCATGCCTGGCCTCCTTCAGCTCAGCTCGGCAGCTGCCTTTGCCTCTGGCTCCCGCCTGGAGGCTGAGGGGAGAGGCTGCTGCTGCTTTGACTCGAGGCTGAGTGAGAGGGTGAGAGAGCCAGCCTGGCGTGGCCCAAAGGGGAACGGGTCACCAGCCCAGGGGTGTAGCCAGCTGCTCCAGCACCCAGAGCCATGGGCCAGTCTGTGCACGGGGGCAGCGTGGCAGTCGAGCTGCCCACAGAGTCCGCCTGGTGGGTGCAAGCCCCACGCTGCCGTTTCGGGCAGCACAGGGCCCCAAGCCACCGCACCACTCCTGGGAGAGACGTGTGGCTCGGGCGCACTGCAGGCCAGGCCCCACAGTAAGTGCCGCCCCTCGCAGTGTGCCATTTTGTCACCCCCTCAGGGATGACACCCGGGGTGGGCTTCACCCCCCCACCCCTTCCTGAGCCCCTGCACCAGCCCCCCAGGGCTTGCCTGGGAGTCCCAGCTGGGGGGCTCTGCTTTGTTCAGGGTCTGAGAAGTGAGCGATCAACAAGTGAGCTTCATCTCATCCAGAGGACTCTGGGCCGGACGGAGCACTGCAGCCAGAGCAGGGAGACTTCCTCCTTCTCCAACTTGGGTCCCGAAGGCAGCCTGTTTTAGGGCTCCAGGGCCCCCCTTGATGCTCAGCCTCCCATGGAGAGGGGCTCCCCTCTGAGCCATTCCCACGGCCAGCCCTGCCTTCTCTGCCCCGGTGGGTTTCTGCATCGTGATCTCGGCCAGGTGGTAACCAACCTCTTCTCTCTCTCCATCCTGCCTGCTGCTTGCCCCAGTGCATGGTGGGAAAGGGATTAGGTTTACGGCTAATGAGGATGTCCGTCCTGATAAGGGTATGTTCCAGGCCAATGTTGCCATAACAACATTGGACGGCTGCAAACCTGCTGTGCTTTGGAGCCCCCCACCCTCAGCCCCCCTTGGCCTTTCTCTGCCCCCCTCTAGCACCCCCAGGCCTTTCCTCCCCTCCTGGCTCACTCGCCTCGTAGCATCTTGTGGCGTGCGCCTTGCAGGCTCCCTCGGGGGGGGGGGGGAGGTTGCTGTCCCTGGGGAGTTTTGTCAGCCTGATGGCAGAAGTCTGCAGCTCTGGATGTTCAAACAGCCGTCGTGGCGAGAGAAATAGGGTGCTTCACACTTTGCAAGGTAGAAGGCTCCTGAGCATGCGCCGAGTGCACTGTGGAGTAGCCGCCTGAGATGGTGCTCAGTGCTGGACCCCAGGCGAACAGTGCGCCTCTTGCGACACGGTTGTGGACAGTCAGATGAAGGGCTGGCTTTCGGCCGCAGCTCTTTCTGCAAATCTGGAAGAGTCTGTATGGTTAAGATGGGTTCAAGCTCCCAGGAGCAGGCGGGGGCCGTGAAAGGCAGGGTGAGGTTGGAGCTTCTCTCTGCTCCTGAGGCTTCTCCACTGCTCTCCGCACATCCTCCTCCCACCTTACTCAGTTTCATAATCACCAGGAGCCTTTAAAATGCTGCACCAGGTGAAGGATGTGGACTGGAAAGCCTGCTCTGCGGAGACACAGCTGCCACCTCAGAGGGCCTGTTTAGCCACCTGGCAGCCCCCCACCCCCCAAACCACCTTCTGGCCCTGCCATTGCCTTCATGTTGTGTGTCTGAGAGGACAGTCTCCAGGAACCAAAGTGTTGAGCGTGCGGCAGCTCTGAGCCAGCACCTCTGCCTGCTTTTGCAGTGCCCACCCACTGTCTTGACTGGGCCCCTGTGGTGCTAAAATGCCTTGAGACACACACACGTCAGCGGTGGGAAGCATTGCTGAGGAGCGGGAGGGAGAGCCTCCAGGGGGGCTG